GGTTGCAATAATCATGTATGTTGGATTGTACACAAATACCATTCGCTGGGCTTCCAGCCTCACACAATGCAATGAGCCCAGCAGCGCCTCATTTACCACCGAGGCAGGTACCACCGGCGATGCGTCCGCCAGTGTTTCAGGACGCATTCTCGTACGCGAGTATGACTATTGCCGAGAGCCTGAATGCGGGATCGACTTCTCAGGGTGCAGCATCGCCGTGGCCACACGAAATGCCGTCAGGGGCGGGCCACGCAGGTCGAGAGTAGCGCAGCATCTTCGTCCACGCATCGTGGTGGTGACGGCCATTCATTAACGCGTTGAATGGGACACCCAGCGCCACCGATCATGAAAGCTTAGCGACACCGCTCTCAATTGANCATTCATTAACGCGTTGAATGGGACACCCAGCGCCACCGATCATGAAAGCTTAGCGACACCGCTCTCAATTGAGGCGATGATTCCCACTGCCGTACTTTCCACCCATTGAGGCCTTTTCCCCCATCCACTTTCTGTTCTGGTTATTTGTTCTCTCTTTTGCGCATCGGAACAGCTGTTGTTGTTGCATTTGTTCGGTCTCGACTTAGCGGAACATCGACTTGCACGGGGAAGGATGCAGCAGAGTTGGAAGGTGAGAGGAAGACGACACGCATACGAAGTGCAACACACTTTTTCTTCAGCATTCCACAATGGGGAAAAACAAACAAACCCACAACATATGTAAACAAACCACCCAAGGCGCTGTTGTGCCGCTCATCTTGATGAGAAGGTGGACGGCGCACCTGCTCTACATGTTGGCCAAGGCGCAAGTCTCCAGAATCAAACACACACACACACACACACACACACACACACANATATATATATATATATATATACAGCAACCAAGATACGAGCAGTTCTGCAAAATGGCGCATCCATGTTTTATTACCCTGCTCCGCTGAAGGATAAAGCCTAATCACAAATGCGTTGCCTTGAAGGTGAAGCCCTTCTTGCCCTTTCGTTCATTATGAACATATGTTACTTTTCTCACGCGAAGAAGCGATTTCTTTTTTTCCCCAACCCATCTGAAAGCCACCCCAACGACAAAGAGCAGGGTGTCACGAAGAAAACCCTGCTGGAGACCTTGAAGGGGACCGCCGATCACTTGTGTCCCCCACCCGGCTATGTGACGCGGAAAGCAGCCAGCTGCGGGAGAAACCCCTGCGGCCTGCCGTCCATCTGGTCGTTGGCAGACTCCGCCTCTATGGCACCTTGCAGCTGCTGGATGACGCGCACCGCACGCTCGTTCCACCTACGATATTTCTTTTGCAAGGCATCGTCGCGCCGCTCAAGTTCGTGTGCCTCCGCTCGCCTGCGGTGCTCCTCGAGGTCGCGCGCCACGAGCTCACCAGCCTGCGGGTCTCGTGCTTCGGACTGCCCCTTCGCCCTATCGCCACGGTGCTTCTTATTGTGAGCCATCTCAATGATTTCCTCGCCACGCCGCAGTCTTTCCTCAAGCTGTTCCACGTATTTCCGCCGCTGCCGCTCCTGCTTCTCCTTACGTGCGGCGGCCCGCTGCTGCAGCTCGTACTGGCGCACCGCCTGCTCCGCGGCGTAGCGCTCCCGATGTTGCTCCTCCTTCTCGCGCAGCGCCTTCACCAGCGCGTTGTGGTTGCGCGGCTGCGAGAGTGTCCTCACATGGCCGCTCCTTTCAGAGTTGATGCTCCTGCTACTGCCGTGACGGTGCAGACGCTTGGGGTGGTGGCGGCTCGCCTCGTTTTGATCATGCTCTGACCTCGCCTGGCGTTGTTGCAACTCCTCCTCGTGCTGCATGAGAGCGAGCGTCTTTTCGCGTCGCTTTGCCTCTTCCAGTTGCTTGCGGCGCTGCATGACCTCGCGACAATGGTCCATGCGGTGCTGCGACTTCTCCTTGTGCTCCTTCAGCGCCCGCGCACGTTCTTCCCACAGTCGTCCAAGCGCTCGTTTTCTTCTCTCGTTTTCCGCCTCAGCCCTCTCTATGATCTCGGCCTGTGCATTCACTGCCACCTCCTTCTGCATCTCGATCTTCGCATCTAGCTGCTCGTTCCTTTGGCTGTAATAGGCTCGTCTCTCTTCCTGTAACTCGTTGGTAAACTTTTGCCTCTGCTGAACATCTTTCTTGACCGCCTCCATCCGCGATTCACTCTGCTTTTCGCGACGCAACCGATGCTCTCGCATCTCTTGCGCCCTCGTCACCTCCGCACTGAGCTGCTTTTCCTGGATCCTGCGCTCCACCTCATCGAGGGCACACTGCAGCATAGCGATGCGCTTCTCTATCGCTGCGCGGTCGGCACCGGTTGGAGCCTCGCTGCAGGCCTCCCGCATGATACTCTTTAACTGCGTGCTGAGGGCTTGGTACTCACGCCGATCCAGCAGCATGCTTGTGCTACTGGAATGGTTGGAATTACCCTTTTGTAAACTCTCTCTTTGCCGCATGGTGGTTTACCGCCGCAAGGCGCAGACGACCGAGTAGATGCCCTGCTTTTCTTGCTGCTTAATGACGAGAGCCAGAAGGAAGCATGCATAAGTGGTGGTGTAGCAGGCGCCGCAGCGCAACCAAAAGAAGTCACGAACGAGTTGAGAGGAGACGGCACACAGCCACGCAAGAACAAATTCAATTCTCTTAACTTCTATTTGTACCTCTTGTTCATTTTTTTCTTTTCGCCGCTCCCATACTCAAGTACGCGCAGATCCCCTCCCAATCTCCTCCACGTTCGGCTCGCGCGCAGCACAATGAGTACTGACTCACTGCCTCTATGGTGTGCAAAACAACATTTCCAACAACAACAACGACGCATATATATATATATATATATATGTACAGACACAAGAAAATAAACACAAAAAAAAAAAGAAAAACAGTCGAGAAGACTACTTGTGTCTCGGTCTATATTCACGGAGTTGCCTCAGGATAAGCTCCCGACCAAACTCCGTGAGGGCACCGTTGCGGCCAAAGGCAGCGTGCTCGGAAACAACATCGCGGTAAACGCGCGGCTGTGCTTCTGCCATGTGGGGGCCACGCGGGGCCAAATCAGCAGCGTCCTCCGAACTGCGGTCAGAGGAGCCACCCCCAGCCGCAGCCGCAGTGGGAGAGCGGTCTGCCGTTCGTACTACCGCCGCCGTTTCCCTTCGCTTCAACGGTCCAGCCTCCTGCGTACTGCAGACGCGGCGCGGTTCCTCGCGCCTATTCCGCTTCGGCGACGGTCCCTTTGCGGGGGGCGATGACTGCAGCGGCATCGCCAAAGCTGGCGTAGTGCGAAGCTGCCGCGACACCGCGGGGGTGCCGACTGCGCCTGCGCTCTGTGACCGAGGCTGCGGTTGCCGCCTGTCACAACCAAAGAGCTCTCTCGTCGACGCAGTTAGCACTTCAGAAACTCCAACGTGATCTTCCGCCTCCAGTGTTTTCTGAATATACGCACGCCGTAGCGCCTCCGCCTTCGTTGTTTTCACTTCCACGTTGTAGTCCACACGGCACTCATGCGGTATCTTGCGCCGCGGCAAGGGACGGAACGTGCACTGCTGCTGCTGCTCGTCCTCCATGGCACGGCGGCGCTGCGCCTCCTTTTCCGCATCCCGCCGCTGCCGTTCCGCCCTCTTCATCCGCATTTCCTCGATCAACTCCTGTGGGGGAACCTCACGCTGGAACGTGTGCGGTTTCGGCCCTTTGCTAGCGTTGTCTGAGCCAAGCGCAGCGGCCCCAGCCGCAGGTAGTCGTGGTGGCGGCAGGCGACCCAATGGGCTCACATTGGGATCAGGGAGTCCCTCCACAACACCTTCGCAGAGAGCCACGAAGTTTCCCTTGCTGAGGTTGCTCGCGCCACACTGCGCCAGAATACTGCTGAGCTCCTCCGCCTCCTCTGACGACAGAAGGAGAGCAGCGACTCTCTTGAGGTCTTCTACCTGGCACTCTGTTGCTGACCTGTTGGAGCCTTGGCGCTGCTGCTGCTGCTGCTGCTGTTCCTTCTTGATGAAACTCGACAGCGCGTCGAACTTCGCCGAAAGAAATGTTCTCCGACGCTCGCGCTGCAGCAGCACCCGCAGCTCCCGATTGTACTGAGAGCGCGCCCACTCCATTTCATCTTCCAGCCGCCTCGCCCCATCCTGGGGTCTCGGACGCAACTCCTGTAGTTGTTGTACAAGCGGGCGAGTTAAAAGACGCTCCACCACATCCTCCGGCACCAGTCCACACTCGCGTTGCCTCGCGGCAATTCGCTCCGACTCTGTGTTCACCGTCGGCTTAAACGACGGTGACGTCGACCGCGCCCGCTGCCGCCTGCCATCCTCCGGCCGCACGACGACACCGCGGGAAAACAGCCGCTCCACCACTGCATTCACCTTGTCTTCCGGTAGGGGGTTGTTAGCCGGGTTCTTGAACAGCATGTGCCGCTCCAGCTGCTCCACAACGTAGGGCTGCAGCTCGTCCTTGAAACGCTTCTGCTCTTCGTGGTGGTGGTAAAGCTCACTGAAGATGTACGAGTCGTGCACGTGGGCCGACGACTTTAGTGTTGCAGCACGCAGGGTTAGGGGGCGGAATGTGCAACCGTCAAGCTCACGTTCGACGTTCTCACGTCGCTTCTTCGCCCGCCACTGCTCCTTGCGCATGAGCTCGTCGTAGATGCGGTGCTGCGGTGCAAGCTCCGCCGGGCGCCGTATCTTCGCCGCGTACGACGAGAGGTGCGGCGTGAAGGGGCAGTCTCTCTCGACCCGCGCCGTCTCCAACATCGACTGCCGCATCTGCTCGACTGCCGCCCACTGCCGCTTCGCCAGCTGCGCGCGCATGGCATCCTCGTACAGGGTATCGTGCCGCGAGCGGGTACGGCTCGCAGCGCTGGCACTCGCGCCGAACAGCGGCGTCGCAGTGCGCGGGACGGAGTCATGCGACGATGCTCTAGCCGACTCAACGCGGAGTATATCACGCCCCTCCTGCTGCTGCTGCTGCTGCTGCATCGGCGAGTGCGTGGAACTAAAGATACCACGCGGCGAACCGCCGCTGTCCTCGTCGTAGCGGATCGTCGACGGCGTGAACTCCATCGCGTTGGGCTGAGATGAGGAAATACGGGACGGCGACCCCGCGGCCAGGAGGGCAGCAGTAGCAGCGGAACAGCGGTTCTGGTTAATGGTGTCGAACCAGGTCGTGGCAGTCGCCAGTGACGGATTGACGTGAACGTTGATATCTATGTAGTCCGACATGATGAATGCTTTGCCTACGTGACAAAAAAAAAACAACAAAGCGTCAAGACCAAAAACGAAGGGGAGGAGGAGGAGGCAATCCACGCCATTTCTACATTTCGAGGCAGCACACAATAAAGGTTTCGGTGCACACACACACACAGATATCGAACGAACCACAGACTAAGACGAACAAACACCACATCGAATGTGTGGAGCACCACCACAGAGAGTCAAACGGTAGCAGCGTTAGCCACAACACACAGGAGACGCTCTATCCCCCACCTCTTTACATCTCGCTTGCCCGCCGCAGCGTCAACGCGACTTGGTGCGGCATCATGTAGCGATCAAAGGATATCTTCTGCGCCTTGTTGTTGGAGGAGCTTCTGTCCACCTTAGGGGGTTCTGGCTGATCTTTGTGCAGGAGGTCGGTGAGGGTGTTATTCTGCTCCCACCCCGCCGCCTTGGCCAACTCGCTTATCTTGTCGACAAACGCGATCTTGGCTTCATCGCATGCATCCACGACAAATTTTGCCGTCTCCGCAATGACCACGGCATCCCGCGTCATCGCGGTGTTGAAGAAGTCCGGCGCCATGAACTGTGTGCAGCTCGTCCCCACAAATGCGACGTCAAAACCCCTGGGCTGCCTCTCTTGCACGCGCTGCAGGAACCGTGCGAAGTCGAGACCAACGAAGTGAAAGCGGACGCGCGGGAAGGCGGCATGGTGCGTCACGTCGCTTGGGGCCCCGGGCGGCAGGCAGTTGTAGTTTGCCGGGTCGTCCCAGGCGAAGGCGTGGTCACCCCACGGCCACTCCTGCGCCGTCAGCAGGCCATACAGCCACGCACGCGCGTTGTGCATTGAGACGACACCGTTGCCGTACTTGCACGTGCCGTCCACGGACCGCGCGCGGATGTCAGCGTTGGCGGTCTGCGCACCAAGGGCAAAGAAGGGACCATTCTTCATGTCTCCAAGGAACGCCCCAACCCCCTTGCTGTTGAAGTGGCACAGCGACTTGTTCGGCACAGCGTACTCGTATGTGAAACCGCGGCGCGGGTTAATGTGTGTGGCATCAAATGCGACGCCGGTGTTGCGCCACGTGCGGTACTCGGCGAACTTGATGAGGTTTGTGTAGTCGCGGAGGTGGAAGTTGAAATCCCAGTCGATAATGTTGTCGCGGTTGTCGTAGCGCTCCGCCATCTCCTGCCGCAACCGCTGCGACCACGTCTCCTCCGCCTTTGCCTGCGAGGTGTCGCGCGCCCAGTGCACGATCTGCTCCTCCACAAAGTCGCGCTCCTTCAACTTCATCTCCGCGAAGGACACGAGCCGCGCAAGCTCGCCGCCGTCGTTGTCGTCGCTCCGCAACACGCGCAGCAGCCGCTGGGCGACGCTCCGACTCTGCGCGGCGGTCGTGTCGCGCGTCACGGTGTTGCCAAAGGCGTCGAGAAACATCAGCACACGCTCCTCCAGCTCGTCAAGAGAGAACATGCTGTCGAGCAGCCACTGTAGGAAGAAGAGGTGGCGACAGTGCACTCGCAGGTTGGGCTCGTATATGTAGAAGTGATAGAAGCCTGGCGTCTGCCCCGAGGCCGCTGACCGCACACGCAGACTCGACAGGGTGCGGAAGATGTGACGAATGTCGCAGGCCCCACAGAGAAGCACACGCACAACGTTGCTGCCGTCCCCGGCGCCATCCCCCTCTTTGTTCTGCTCTCCTGAATCCTTGCCGCGCTGCCGTGCTCGCTCCTGAATTGCAGCGATCATCGCGTCGACGTCTGGTCCACCGCCAATACCCCTGCCGTTACCATTGCCACTGACGCCACAGCCTTCTGCTCCATATGTGTTTGTCTTTTCTTCCTCCTTAGGCGGCGCTTTTGCCGCCTCAGCAGCAGTGTCGGCGCGGCAATCTGCTCTTTGCTCGCGATGCGCCAAAATCTCTGTGAAGTCAATGGCAGGGGACCACCCCCACGCCAACTCCGTCCCGATGCTGTTGATGAACTGCTTCTTGTTGTCACGCAGGTACTTGTCGCTCATGGAATACCCCACCTTCGTTGTCTATCTATCTATCTATCAATATATATATATATATATATATGTGTGTGTGCGTGTAAGCAGTGCTAGTGGGAGAAGCACAGAGGAGCAGCACAAACCAAGAATAAAATCACAAGACAGAAAAAAAAATACAACAATAACGAGAAACAACAGACATTTGTGCACGTTTCTGGGGTAATTCAAGCCGTACGGGATGGCATAGTCGCGCTGTCGACGAACACCCAGTTGTTTTTCTTCATGAAAACACGGCGCTGTCTTAACTCCACGACAGAAGGTACATTGTGGAGAGCGATGGTGAGTACGCGAGCAGAGAATCCTCCGGCCCGGGCACGCTCACCACATTTAAGTCCCCCACTGCCTTGCCGTGGTCCACAACGACGATAGAGCTCTCGTCGGTGGGCCGCAGCTCCATCCGGCCCCCGCCTGCCTGCCCCTGCTCCTGCCGCCAAGTCATCTCCACGTTGTACAGCAGAATGGTGCCGTCGCGGTCCGTAAGAAAAACGGACAACAAGGGCGCTGCGAGCGCAGGTGTGTGCGTGACGCGCAGACAGGCCGCATACAGCGGCCGCGGTGCACGGATGGTGCCATGAAGCGCCACCGCCACCGGCTGCGCCGCCTCGCCAGTGAAGCGGGCGCTCAGCAGCAGCAC